TGTGTGTGTGTGTGTGTGTGTGTGTGTGTGTGTGTGTGTGTGTGTGTTTAGGAACCAAGGTGCCCTGCCCTAGCCCCAAGCCCCTGCCCCTGGGTCTCTAAGCCCAGGGAATCCCAGGGAGTCTGTAGCTCAGGGTCCAGAAAACTCACCCCAGCCCCCTCGATGGATCCCCTGCTTCAGACTAGGGGGCACCCCCGCCAGCCAGTTTCCGGGAGGGGGTTGAAGACGGTGGGGAGTCTTCTGACCCAGAGAGCCGTCCCCGGGCTGGGGGGGTGGGGTGGGCCCAGACTGGGTGGAGCAGCCACACCTGCCCGAAGTTTCGGAGAATAGGGCGTAAACAGCAACCAGCGCCGCCCTCGCCCTCAGTAGACTCTGCGGGGCCCCACGGTCTGCGGATCACAGTGGGTCCTACAACTTCCTCACTTCCCTAAATGGGCAACTGCGCTTTCAGAACGCCAGGTCCTTCCCTGGCAGACCTAAGTGGCACGTCCTGCAGCGGCCTGGGGCCCTAACCCTGGAGCTGGGGGTGTCCCTGGCCCCCTATTGGCCTGTGACTGTCCCCAACTGGATGGAGCCATGGCTCCCGCATTCCTGCTGCTGCTGCTGCTGCTACTGTGGCTCCAGGGCCCTGTCTCAGGTGAGAGAACCAGAGGGCAGGAGAGCTGGCTTGGGGGTGGGGGGGGGGTGCGGGGCGGGGAGAGAGTGGCCTTTTCCTAGACCCTCCCGGCTTTCATGCTTTGTGGGGTTGGAGGAGGAGAAGGATGGGGCTGGCCTAGAGGCTCCTGACCAGAGAATAGTGAGAAGGTTGCATCCCTGTATTTGGCCCCAGGCAAAGCTACCACAGGCCTCACAAACTAAGATAAAGCTCCAGACCCTCTCTGGTTGGGCCCCTTCATCTGCCAGGCCTGCTCAGGACCTCTGACCGTGGACACTCCGTTTCCTCACACAGAAAGCCTCCCTCCCCTGTTGGGAAAGGGCTGTTTGGTTCTTACAAGAATCATTGCACCACGTGTGTGTGCTTTAACTCCCTCAGTTGTTTGTGCCACTACCCCCTGTCCCCCTCCCCCTGTCCTGAGCGGAAGCGATTTCTGAAGGCCTCGCCCACCCCACAAAATGCTCCTTGAGGGGGCCTCACCCATTCCTGCCTCCCTTGTTGCCATGGCAACCAAGTTACCATTTCCTGTTCAGTTCTGGTGACGGCCTGTGGGAGGGGTGGAAGGTGGGCTCAAATGGGCTCCAGCACCCTGGAGACCCTTTCCAAGGGCACTCCACCCATGCACCTCCCTTAGGGAGCCTCCTCCTTCTGCTCCTGTGCAGAGCAATCTTGGGGTCCCCCAAACCTCCCTCTCCCCAAATAATTTAGTTTGGTCATTCCTTTCACTTTGTGCAGGGCAAAGTGATGCTTAGAGAGGGTGTTACCTTACCCTGAGCCTCAGCTCTCCTGTAGCTGGGTTGGAAACAGGCAGATGTCTCAAACCTGTGCTGGGTCCTTGGCTATCACAGCTCTGGGCTCTACTGGAGAAGTCTGGAACGACCTGCATTTTAGAAACGGAAGCACGTGGTGCACTGGCTACGTTCCAGGCACTATCAATGGTAGAACCAGGGTTTTAACCCATATTTTTTTTATTCTTATATTTTATTATTATTATTTTATTTTAAGAGAGAGAGAGGGAGGGAAGGGGCAGAGAGAGAGGGAGAGAGAGGATCCCAAGCAGGCTCCGTGCTGTCAGCACAGAGCCCCACAAGGGGTTCGATCCCACGAACCCTGAGATCATGACCTGAGCCGAAATCTAGAGTCGGACGCTTAACCTACTGAGCCGCCCAAGCGCCCACCCATATATTTTTAGACTCTAAAATGTGTGCTCTCTACTCTGTCCTGCTGGGGAGAAACGTGTGTATGTGTGCAGAAGGCTCTGGGGGTGTGAAAGGAGTAAGTACTGAGCTTACCTTGGGCAGAGGGGTGGAGGGAACGCACCACAGCTTTCTCTCTCTCTCTGTCCCCTGATTGCCCACCCCCACTTCTAGTTCCACTCTCTTCCTGCCAGGCTGTGGATTGTGAAATGCACGGACCACATCTTGTTTCTAGGCCGAGACTGTAACATGCTGTAGACGAACAGTGAATTCTTTGGTTTGCACCCCACTGAAAATTGAGATGCATGTTTGGGCATTTGTAATCTATGGATTTTATGCAACTAGAACGTTTTAAAATGAAATACCACGTGAAAGGAACTAAGACAACTTGCTATTTAGAAGATAACTAAAACGAACTTCTTGGTGAATCATTTTTACTCTGAATTTTTTCAAATGCAGGACTTTCTTATCCACCTGAGTTGCTTGTGTTCTGGAATTTTATAACTTAGTGACTTCTGTTTGCGTCTGTGCATCTGTCTCGCTGTGCACCTGTGTCAGTGCCTCTGTCTCAAAGACGTGGGTCTTTCCCACAAGACCCTGCAAATGGGGTTGTTACCTTCCCATTGGGCTAGAAAATACCATGAAGAAAGGGGCTGTGTCAGTTGGAGCCCCCTGAGTGTAAGGGCTGAGTTTCTTCCATTAGTCTGGGGGTCCCTGAGGGCTTTGCCTGTGTCTCCACCATCAGACTGGGACTTCCCTGAGGGCTAGTCCTATATCTTTTGCACCATTCTAGGACTCCCCAGGGGCCCACAACTATTGTCTTCCTCCCCAGTTTGGGAACTCCCAGAGGGCAGGGCTAGTGTCTCCTCCAACTGACTGGAAGCTCCGTGAGGGAGTGGCTTGTGTCTCCCCTCTCAGACTGGGAGCTAGCTGTTGGCCATACCCGTGCATCGCCCCTATCTGACTGGGGGAGCCCTTTCAGCGTAGGACTGTGTCTCTCCCCACAACTGTGAGTTCCAGGCAATATCCACCTCCTCTCCCTTCACCTCGACCTTCAAGAGGCCTCCTTCCCCGCCTCTGGCCAGACCTTGCTCACCAGTAGTGTCTCCCCAGGTGTCCCTGCCGAGAACGTGTACACTAAAGTGCAGCACCTTGAAGGGGAGACTCTGTCTGTGCAGTGCTCCTACAAGAGCCGCAAAAACCACGTGGAGGGCAAGGTATGGTGCAAAATCAGGAGGAAGAAGTGCGAGCCTGGATTCACCAGGGTCTGGACGCAGGGGCCACGCTACCTGCTGCAGGATGACGCCAAGGCCAAGGTAGTCAAGATCACCATGGCGGCCCTCAGGCGCCAGGACTCGGGCCGGTACTGGTGCATGCGCAACAGCTCGGGGACCCTGTACCCTCTGACGGGCTTCCTTCTGGAGGTGTCTCCAGGTGAGCCGGCCCGCCAGGGCACGGGAGGGTTGAGGGTGTCCTCCCTGCCCCAGTCTCCATTCGCAGCAGATATAGTAAGAATAATAATCCATCCATGGGCCTGGGGTGCCGCAGGGTTTTCGCAATTTTTACTGACATCTTCATGGGCGTTATTGTCCCCATTTTACCGATGAAGAAAATGAGACCTAAAAAGCCCTCTGTGGATCTCACCTTGTCCAGCGTCACAGAGCTAGCAGGTGGCAGAGACAGGATTCATACTTAGGGCGCTGTGTGCTTTGTTTTTATTCCATCTTCTGTTAAATATATATTCACTGCGTCCCTAGCTATGTGCCAGGGACTGTTCTAGGCTCTGAGGATAGAGGGGTGAGCGAAAGCAGACACAGCCCTGCCCTAGGAGAGACGACAGGCAGTCGCACATCATCAGACAAATAATTGTAGGTAACCATAAACGTTCTGAAGAAAATAAAGCAGGTCAGTGTTTTATTCAGTAATTCAGTGGCGGAGGGAGCCACTGAGGTGCTGGAGACCAGAGAGGACTCTCCTGAGCAGATGACATCAAGCAGAGCCCAGCGTGATGAGAGCTTTTTAGCCCTGTTGAAATATGGGTCCTTCAGAGGGTATTCTAGGTGCATGTGCAAAGGCCCTGAGGTGACAAGGAGCTGGGTCTGTATAAGGCAGGCCTGTGTGGCTGGTCCGTATTGAGTGTGGGGCAGAGTGGCAGGAGATGAGGCCGGAGAGTCAAACAGCAGCCCTAAAGTCTCTGATGTGGAGTTTGAGTTTTATTCCAAGTAGAATAGGAAGCTATTGGAGAATTTAGAGGGGTGTGTTGTGGCTTGTCTTTAAGAGCCTAATGGCTGTTTTGTGGAGGATGGATTGTGGAAGAGGGTAAGAGATGGGCACAGAGACCCCTGTTGGGTGTTCTGGCTGAGAATGACAGTGTCTTAGAGTAGGACGTGGGCCCTGGGGGCGGGGAGAAGTGGAGGGGCTCAAATCTGTGATGTTCAGACCTCCTGCCCCCCACCCTGTACACTCTGGAGGCAAGACAGGATCTGCTCGTGTGGGAGGTGAGCGAAAGGGACGAATCAGGAGGAGTGACCCTAAGGCTTTCTGTTCCATCAGCGAGGTGCATGACGGTACCATTTATTGAGTAGGGCGAATCTGGAGAGGAGCTGGTTTGGAGGAGAAATACCAAGAGCTGTATTTTGTCCTGTTAAGTTTGAGATGCCTCCTGGAGCCCCAAGTGGGCAGCAGATGTGCAGCCTGGAGCTCAGGTGAGAGGTCAGAGCTGGGGATATACTTGGAAGTATCTCCATGAAGATAGTTTAAAGTCTAGGGGATTCGAGAAATCTATACAGACAGAAAGCAGATTGGTGGTTGTTTAGGGCGGGCGGGGGGGGGGGGGGGGACAAAACGGGGAGGTAGAGGAGTCACAGCTAAAAGGTGAGGAGATGATGCAAATATTCTAACACTGGCTGTGGTGATGGTTGCGGGACTCTGAATATACTAAAGACCATTGAATTTGGTGCTGTAAATGGGCGCAGTATGTGGGATGTGACTGGTGTCACAATGAAGCTGTAAAAAAAAATCAAGGGAATGTAGGGGCGCCCGGGTGGCTCAGTCGGTTGAGCGTCCAACTTTGGCTCAGGTCATGATTTTGCAGTTCGTGAGTTTGAGCCCCACGTCGGGCTCTGTGCTGACAGCTCGGAGCCTGGAGGCTGCTTCGGATTCTGTGTCTCCCTCTCTCTCTGCCCCTTCCCCACTCATGCCCTGTCTCTCTCTGTCTCTCAAAAATGAATAAACGTTAAAAAAATTTAAAAAAAAATCAAGGGAATGTAAAAGCTCTCCCTTGAGTGTCGAAAAGGAGAGTTAGGGCCAAGCCCCGAGGTCCCCCCCTAAATTTATACGATAGGAAACGGCGAGGAACCAGCAAGAAAATCTGAAAAAAAAAGCAGCCAGTGATGATGAAATTTGTTATCCGCCCTTCCGCATTCTCCTGATCCCTCTGTATCTCCCTTTTCTGTGGGACTGAGCTGGGGCAACTACTGTCTCTGAGATGTGGAGCCAAATCTCGATCCCCCCTCTCCAGTTCTGCCTTTGCAGGGATACAAACACGGAATGGTTTCGCTTTTCTCTGTGCGCACCCCCTCCCCTTGTCAGATCTCACGTTCCACCTCTTAAAGGCCGTTTGGGGAGATTCCGACTTTGCAGACCTTTTCGGTTATCAGGAAAACAGAAAAATCCACAGCCCGTTTAAAAACTCTAATCTTCTAGCAATATATGCCCCTCCACTCCTTCCTGAAGACCAAGCCACCTGGAGTGGGGAAGGGGGTAGCCTGCTGCCTAACTCCCTCTCCTTCGTCCCGGCAGGTAGGGAAGGTGGGGTTCTTGGCAGTCCGCTCTCCCTGCCATCCCCTGCCAACCCCCTGGTGCACCGAGGCAGGGGAGTGGTAGTGTGTCTTCACTGCCCGCTGTAGGAGTTCTCTCTCCATGTCGGATGTCACTCTTTTGTACCCAGCCCTTTGGGATCCTCTGTGAGGTGGGGGTCCAGATGCTGGCCCTCCCAAGGCACCTACGCATGAGTTCTCTGGAGGGTCTTTGGGGGTGTCCCCACTGCTGTGTAGGGTGATGGTGGAGACCTGGCTCCAGGTCAGCCTCTTCCCCTATCCCCACTCTCACCAGTGTTGCTTGTTCGGGGGTCCCTTGCCCAGAAAGATGGGCACCTTCCATGGTGGCCATTTGGCCCTTTGAAATGTGTCCGTGTGATGCACAGTCATGTCATGTGGCAGCCCATGGCAGCCCTCTCTCTCCCCGATGTTTCTCTCCAGTTCCCTTGTTCTCTGCGGATATAGTTTCCACATTGCCCCAGATGGGACCTGGAGCCTCCCGCAACCCCCTCCTCTTCCACCACCCAAACGCCAACCTTCTCGAAAATGGGATGTAAAAGGCTGAGGTGATGGGTGAGGGTAGCAGGTGTCTCTTCGTAAGCCCCTGAGAAGGGCATCTGACTCTGCTGCTTGAGGTGTTCTGTGGAATTTGGGCCTTTAGTGCTTCCCTGTGTTTTGTTTTTTAAGCTTGTTTGTTTATTTTGAGAGAGACAGAGACTGTGCCAGTGGGGGAGGGGCAGAGAGAGAGAGAGAGAGGGAGAGAGAATTCCAAGTAGGTTCCACTTGGCCAGCGCAGAGCCCAACACGGGGCTTGAACTCACGAATCTCCGAGATCATGACCTGAGCCGAAATCAAGAATCTGACGCCCAACTGATGCCCAGTTGCTTCCCTGTCTTCAGTCCCTGGGCCCTACTTGCCAACTATGGAGCACCTGGAAAAGTCCCTGTTCAACATCATAGTGAAGAAGTCTCTTTGGCCCACAGGAATGAGGAGGGTTGGAAGTGACTGGAGAGATGGGGGCGGGGAGGAGAGTGTCCTCTGGGCCCAGGTGGCCCAACAGGGCAGGCTAAAGAAACAGAAAGTCTCTTCCTTCTCCCTGACCAACAGCTGGTCACTCAGCAGAGCAGAGCCCTGGGTACAAGACCCAGGAGGGGAGACGGGGATCCGCTCCCATCAGCGAGACCCCCTCCTGATCTAACGTTCCTCCCTCTCTGGCCCCTTAGCCTCCGCCATCAGGAGAAGCACTCCTCTTCCACAGCTGGCCAGTATCCTCCAGAGTGGAATTGTCGTCACCGAGGGCCCAGCCCCCACCTCAGGCCCCGATGCCCCTTTCACCACCAGTGTGACAGTGCTCACACCTGGTCTCTTCACCATGACCAGACTCGTGCCCTCCGCTGCCTCAGGGTCCATCAGACTGACCTCCATGACAGGCTACAGCTTCACCAGCGCTGGCTCCTCTACCATGGGGCCCGGGAGGACCATGGGGTCCCAGACCGTGACCGTGCCCCCCAGCGATGCCGGAGCCTCCTCTGCCGGCCCAGTGTCTGTGTCTACCGGGGCTGGGCCCCCGCGTGCCAGATCACCCACCACGGGAACGTGCCATACCAGTGGGTCTCTCATCAACAAATTTTCCCCTGACAGGTACCCGGGGGTCGTGGGGCTGAATGATGTTTGGCCGGATATGGCGGCCGTTCTTGGGGCCTCCACTTAGAGCCGACCTTCCCTTTCAGGAGGCCCGTCTGGCCTGCTGCTGAGTGGCGGGTGGGTAGGACGCCAGAAGCTGGGAAGGAGTGGTGCCATCCATACGGGCTGGCAGTGGGAAGGGAGGGCTGGGGATGAAGAGGAGAAGGTAGGGGCAGGACAAGGATGGGCCTCGGGAGTAGGAAGTGGGAAATGGGGGGTGCTTTAAATTGGGTTCCCCCGGAAGCCACCTCTGGGGCCAGGAATGCTGGAAAGAGCGCGGGGAAGTGAGACAGGGAGCCCGGAGAGAACCTAATCAAGCCACCACCACTGTGGGCAGCGGAGCTCGGCCCATGGGGTGGGCTCTGGGGCCCTGCGTCAGACGCCCACCTGAAGGGCAAGAGAGCTGTGGTATTAATACACCTACTCCCACTGGGCATTGATAGAGGGCTGCCTGTCCTGGGTGGGAGAGAGGGCTCCAGTAACAAGAGAAAGTCCTCAGGCCAAAAAATATTTGAACGGAGGTGCCGAGGGCTGGTGCACACGGAGTGCTACAGGCAAGGGGTTACAGGCTGTGCGCCTCCCGCCTCAGCTGCAGAGGACAGCAGAAGGAAGGGCCACCACGAGAGGCTCCCACTGTGAGGACAGCAAGACTCTCAGTCTCCTCTGTCACAAATGGGGGTCCCTTAAGAGTCCTTGTCCTCGGCAGTGAGCGGATTTGGGGAAACAGTGGAGGAGATACTCCCCTCCGCCTGGGACTCTTCTCCTGACCCCCAAGCTCCTCACTTCCTCCTGCCACAGCTGGGTTCCCAAGGAAGGGAGCCCATCACCCCGGCCAAGGCCTGTGAGGATTTCTCCAGGTCTGGCTCCTCTCCTGCGGCACGCAGGAAGACATGGGTCTGGGAGGAGGGAGCCGGGTGCTCACCTCCTCCCCGCTCTGTCCTGTCCCCTCAGGCACCAGGATTCATATCCCATTGTGCTCCTGGGGGTGCTGACCTTCCTTCCAGTGCCTGTGATGTTGATCGTGGTCTATGGGTTCTGGAAGAAGAGACACATGGGGAGTGAGTACAGCCCACCCTCCCAGCCTCCTGAGGGCAGAGCAATGGGACTTGACACGCTTTCCAAAGCGCCCGCCTGCACTCCATTCCCAGGCGGTGTGTCCTCACCTTTGTTGGCCAGAAGGACTGCTTGGCACCCAGGGGAGGGAGGAGGGTGGGTGAACAGGAAAGGTGCCGCACGACCCTCCCGGGGCCGACCCAGCAGAAAGTGGAGGGCAGAGCCAGAAGGAGGGATGGACTGGCCCAGGAGGGTGGGGGGAGGGGAGCACCGGAGCCCTGCCCTTCATCTCTGTCCTTGTCCTCCCAGGCTACAGGGTGTGCGACAATCCTGCTAGAGCCTGCAGGGACCCACTTGGAAGCCCGGAGCCTCCGTGGAAGCCTGCTTGGTCCGAGGCCACTTAACTATGGAGTAGGAAAGC